AAAGCACTCCATAAAGAGTTCTGCCATTTAACTAGTTGAAGACAAGCAAATGAACGGTGTTAGAGAAAGGTTTCATGTTTGCTTAGCTTAGACTTGCATTTAACAAATTGCCAACATACATGAAACAATAAAAACTAGAAGTAAAAAATCAATAGTGCCTTTGCTGCTTTATAAGCTAGTATGTTTCTGCACATAGATCAACAGAGATGACAAAGGTTGAAAGGCGATCTAAAATTTCATGAGTTACCTATAATAAAGGGGAAGAGAGCTAGTTGAATTAAGCCTCAGAATCTGGGCTTCAGATTTAAAGCCTTTTATGTTGCCTTCAATTTAAAGCCTTATATTGGACAGGGTGTTAAATCTGACCTCAGAAAGGTGCTTAGCTGTTGCACATCCAGCCTCCCCACTCTGTGGTGGGAGGGGTCAGGGCTAGCTGCACTCTGTCCTTCCTGATGGCACTTGAGGCTCAGGCAGAAATATGGTTTGGTTAGTGTAAGTAGCTTTGGAAGTAGTCAAGACATTAACAAGTCAAGCTGTGAGAGCTCTAAGTCCTGTGTTTTCCAGGAACATTCATTATTTCCCTTAGGAGCTGCTATGAGGAAGTTGCCTACAATGCAACGGAGGCTCTGTCCTGGAAAGGAATCCGTGAAGACCCCACCTCACTCATCAGGCGCCAAGCATTTGCAAATACTTCAGTTTTCCCTAGTAATGCTGCTTAGGCACACCACACTAATGATTAACACATTTGTTTGCATATTTCCCATCTGGACTGAGAGGAGTATTTTAGGATTTATCCTGTTCAGGGGCATTGATATTCGTCCACCAGATATAGCAAATTCTCCTGAGGACTGAGATCTAATGAGGGTGTTCAAGGGTGATTTCTTTGAAGACGTGAGTTCAGCACACAATAGTGACCCCAATGGCTTTCACTTGATAAGTGTCCAAATGAGGTAAAAATTGCCTGGGTCTTCATTTAATGTAATTTTTTTACTATTAGTTTAAACTACATGTATTTTAAACAATAAAATGAGACTGTAGCACAACTTGGAGGGGTTGTTTCTATTTTGAAGAAAAGATTGAGCCAATTTTTATATTCAAAGTGATTGCTTGGTCATTATAGTCCAGTAGAACATTTAAGAATGTGAATCACAGTTAGTAGAGAAACTTCTGTCAAGGTTGTAAGGCTTCAGGAGACATGTAAGATTATAGTCTGCTTTTTTTTTTTTAATTTTTTTTTCCCACTTTCTGGGTAATTTGTCTTGGGTAATTCAGGAGTCTCCCTGCTGAGCAGGCTGGCTGTTGTAAATCCCATTCACCGTGTGATATATATGCACGAGGAAGGAAGTTGAATGATCTATGCCTCAATAAATGGCAGAGAGGATTTCAGAATGCATTACAAAGAGGCTGGAAATTTATTCCAGAAGACTACTTATCCTTAAAGATGAAACTCATGGCATCATTTATTACTTCCAATAGTTCGAAAATTAGCTCTGAATAAGTACAAACTAGGAGACACTCACTACAAAAATCCACTTCTCCAAAACAACACAAAAGCTTAATCCTCTCAGAAGTTTAGAAGAGTTCAGGCAAAAAAGAAAAAGACAAAAATTGGGACCAAGATCCACCTGTGTTTCATTTTACTTGAGTCATCGACAACAGATGATAAATACTCTGTAGAAGTCAGCTGAGTTACTCCTGTTTGTGGGGTACCTAAGGCATCTACCCTTAGTTCTAACCTTATATTGTCAGAACCGCAGTTCCCTCTGAAGGGACAGCACACAGGCTTGTGTGTAATTATCCATTTAGATACAGTACCTGGTATGTAAATACTGGTAATAATTATCTTCCCTTTTATTTCTTCTGAAACAATAGGATTTAGTCCTATCATGAGACTGCCTAGCTGTGTCAAACTTAATAGGTGGTTGCAAAAATAGCTAGCTACAAGCTGATATTGACTGCCACTTCCTGTAGGACTTGACATCTANGTTTAGAAATATTTTATGTACCATTTCCCAATGACTTCTGCAGTTGAGCAGACATGAGATGAATGCAAAACCTGTCTGTCGTATAGACTCATGTTCTCACTTAATCTTCATGCAGGGAGAATTATTCTTCCATTTCATCAATGTTTTATTAGATTTTTTTGAAAAATCTGGCAGAAGTATATCATTCTTCATAGACTAACAAGTTAGTTAGAATGTGCTGTTTCCCCAGTACTGGCATTGACATTGTCATTTCTGTAAGTATATCTTGCTTTCAAGGGAGCGAGTTACTATTTTTAGAGTTGATCTCATACCTGCCTTCGTTTCTCCCCCAACTCATTATGAGGTGCAAGTGAGTATGTGATTGGAAAATGATCTATTTGCCCAGAAGAGACTCCTCCCTAGTTAAGCTGCCTATTTTGTTCAGTATTAATTTAGATGAGGTAGATAACATTCACTGTTCATGTAAATATGTCATCTACTCAGTCTAGTGAGACCACTTGTGCTGTTGATTAATAAAATTATGGGTATGTGAGTAGTATCTTTGTGTCTCATGATAAAATTTCCATCATGGTGCTGACAGGCATAAAACAGAAGGCACCTTTTGCTGAGGTGCTGTCTGTCCTATTGAACTTGGATTTTTGTAAACCTTGATCAATGAATGAATCTACCTAGTAGGCAGAAAATTGGAGCATGATGAGCAGAGTGGAGAGGGAGCACTAGGAGAGCTGTGCTGAAGCCTAGCACCTGATATGTTAGGAATTATAGATTATATTGAGTAAAATTCGTTTTGGTCTTGGGCATATGCTGCTGTATCAGACTACAATGCTTTTATTTTGTAATAGATGTGCAGTGCTTGCCAGTGCAGTTTTAGAATAGCCAAATGGAATGTAATGATTTGAAGCTGAAAGGGAAGGCTAAAGGGTGCAATAACCAATGACAGCACAGTGATGGTGTGCTGAGCTTGTGGCAAACTGAATCAAAATGGCTGTATGGCTGTCTGCACTGTTGCTGATGCCTTACTGACATATCTTAATTATTCACAGATTTAGCACTGTATTTTGTAATTTAAAAAAAAAATCGGATAACCAGGTGTTTTGTGCTAGCATTACCATGCAGTAAGTAAGGCATGTGCAACATTTAATGCATATAAAAAAAAAAAAAAGAGTGAAATTTATTTCTTGAGGTGCTAGAAAACTCAAATGACTACTCAGAAAATTTGTAGGAAGCCCATGTCTATACACAGGGGCTTGCATAAGAGGTGATGGGACCAGAAAAATTTGACAACCTATGAAAACAGCTGATGTTTCTACTGTCAGTATGAGTTGGATGGCATTAAGACAGCTACTGTCTTACTGTTCTAATGGAATGTTACCACTGAATTGGTATGTCATATGTTTTATAGTTTGCTGATCTAAGTATAGGATCAAAACTTGTGCTCCTGGGCAATGCAAATTTCCCCTAAATCATATGAAAAAAAATTGAGACCCATTTCACTCAGCTTTCACTGGATATTATATTAGAGAAAAACTGTCTTCTTCTGTTGAACAAGTGTACTCTTCTGTTTCTTATAATGCCAAATAACTTTTTTGCTACCTTAGCCTTTAATAAAGAGCTAATGGTACTTCCAGAGACTGGCAGTCACAGGTACCAATATTGTTTCCATCTGCGGTGACTAAGTATGCTCCTACAACTAATAAAATAAATAGACTTACATTTTTCTTATGATAATGCTGTGATTTTTATTTAAAACAGAAGTCTAGTTGAATAGAAATTTCATTGACTCACCACATTTTTGTCTATGTGCATGAACTTGTTGTTTACATTTAAAATTACGGATTTCTTTAATAATCAATAACAATGCCAAAATAGTCTATAGCTTTGATAAGTAAATACTTCATGCATCTTCTTGTGATTCCCCCAGATAAAGCCAGTAGTATGAATAAGAAGGGAACAGGAGAGATGACAAGATGCAAGTCTACTGGAAGAAGCCAGTAGCACAATGTGAGCCAAATGAAGGTGCCTTCCACTGTGTTACCTGAGTCAGTTCAACACAGTTCTGTGCTTTTCGCACACCCTTGTCTGACCTGCCAGCCAGTTGCGCAGTTGTGAGTGCACAATTTTTCTAGCAATGATAAAGTGCTATAAATTTTAATTTTAGGGGATCCAAACACTTTCAAACCAAGATCCAAAGTAAAATACAGCTGGCTCAGCAGTAGTTAGGAAGTTCTGTTGGAGGGGCAGTGGGCAGCTAGTAGCTGGTCGCTGGAGCATCTTAAGTTGGATTATCACTCACAAACCAGAACTGTTATAACAGTGTTAAGTGCCCCTTCTTCATATGGTATTTCCCAGACTTTGTGTATGCTGAATTGCCACTATTTCAGAATTATTTCAGAATTACTTCAGAATTTAGCCCAAGAATCATGGGCCAATACACAAGTTGCCTGCTTGCTGCAGAAGGCTATGATGGTGGGTTTGTTTCTTGCTTCTTTTATTATTATTTGCTTAAATGTTTTTTTCTTCTCATCTCGTAAACTAAGAAAAAAATTAATTTGAACATTTCACCATGAAAATACTGTTTTCTACATGAGGAAATTAAATACCTATTTCCAGTTCAAGTAAAAAACCCATCTTCCCTTACCTTGCAATGATTTGGTGTTCACTTATACGTATTTTTACTGCAGTAACATAGAAAGAATTGGTTTTTATGAAATAATTTGTCTGAAGCAGATTTAAATGTAACCTTAGAGGACAAAACATGAAACAGGGTTAGACTTTTAAACCAATCAGTTTTATTCTGCGCACAGCAATTCCTTCTGCTGTCAGCAGGAATAAAGTTTACTGCTGTTGGAAACTTGTAAAAAGTCAAATGTGTTCCTGTAAAATGCCTTGTCAACTGCAAGTAAACCAGACCACACATTTCAAGAACAAAGCATTTCTTTATTTTACTATCTATAAAGTTTGTTTACATGCTCAGAAGTAGTTACAAGAATGTGAATTGAACAAAGAGAAGGAAATGCTATATTCCTATGTGGCCAAGAAATCCTGATTAGTGACCTTCTGAACTGCCTCAGTCAGAATACACAGGATTCAGTTGTTCATCTCATGGGGAGCCAAGATATGCCTATATCCAGATGTTGAACTAAGATTAATATGGATGTCTTCATGATTGTTATTATACTTCAATAAAACAAATCCTTATACAAGTTGTATCACAATTAAATCATAATGACAGACACAATCCCAGCTTTTTATTGAAAAAATACGTTCTGTGAACCTTTCAGGGGAAGAGGAGACAGGAGGAAGAATAACTATTTGTCTGCTCAATATATTCTGTTTTAATATAGAGCCACTTAAAATAACTAATTTAAAAAAAAACTACCTTTAAATCATACCTTATAAAAGAGAGGTAAAATTGTAATGCATCCCTCACATAACAGTCTGTATCAGTATCATTTTGATGGGTAGTTTGCTTTTATTGGCACCTCCTTCTGAAAAAACAAAACAAGTGAAAGCCTCTAAGCTGTAAATTTTCACAGGCCAGGGCTAGGAATGAAATGGCAATGTTGTTTTCTGGGATAAATCAGGTGCTACTAAAAACATTTCAGTACCAAAGGTTAATAATATCTTCATCAGTAGCTCTTGAAAGAGACCTGACTGCCTAAAGGCAACTTAATTTTAAACACTGAGACAAGTCAATCAGTATACACCTAAAAATATGTATTGAGGGATGCAGTTTGCATACATTACAGCTAGTTTTTTCTTTCTAATCTGTGAATTCTGGAATGTGAAATCTTGAATGCTTTCATTTGCTTATTCAGGAAAATAGGCTCAAGTGCTTTTCTATGTAGGGTATCGGTCTGCTTGTTGCTGGTCACTGGGTAGAGAAAGAGAGTTTCTAGGGGAAGTACAGGGCACAGAGAAATAGCCTTCTACTCAGAATTCTGTGCTTCCTGTCCTAGTGTTAAAAAAATCTCTTTTACAAGAATATTTGTCTGGGTACAGTGGGGGGATGTTGATGAGCTGAAAATGTAAATGTTGGCTCAGCCAATGTCCACTGACTGTGGCCTGAGAGGTTAGAAGGTGGGTCCGTTTCCCATTTTTACATTCTGCAGTATCAGAACTGATAGCCTGTAGCATTTAAAGTGGCTAAGTAGGCATAGTGGAAAGCAAAATACAGAGATGTCAGTAAAGCCATCTCAGTGCTTTTGGAACCACTATCCTGGCTCATGACTAAATGGATGTTTCTGACCAAATGCCAACAATTTTGGCAAGGCTGTGAAAAAGAAAAAAAAATCTATGGAATTTAACTTTTTTTTTTTTTTTAATTAAAATATCTGTTAGGAGCTCCAAGTTTCATGGAACCCAGTGTCAGTGGTGCAGGGAGGAACCCCCTTTCATTTGATACACTTTGTTACACCTTGTGCTTTGAATATGCTATGATTTGATTTATTATATTAATATCTACATAGGCAGTAAATAAGATATAGCTGTTCATGGTCACAGGGTAAATTAAGAAAAGTATTATTTCCTAGACATCTGTTTAGACTATCAGCCTTAGAAAGAAAATACCTCTGGTCTTTTTAAGTCATGTGGAAGAGTATGATTTATGGATGATAGTATAGTTACCCATTGACTCCTGGAAAGAAGTACAGCAAACCTGATTTTAGATGTGATTTAGAGCATTATGAATACAGGAAAGTTGCAGTTTTATCAAGGGCATTGGTCTTGAAACTTTTCTGAATAGTCATTTTGAAAGGCTATCAGTAGCTAGGCCAAATAATTAATACTGCAGCAAAATATCAGCGAAGAAAAATAGATGGTGACAAAATACCCTATCACAGAATCATAGAATAGTTTGGATTGGAAGGAACCTTTAAAGGTCATCTAGTTCAACCCCTCTGCAAAGAGCAAAGACATCTGCAACTAGACGAGGTTGCTCAGGGCCCTAGCCAACCAGACCTTGAATATTTCGAGGGATGGGGCATCTACCACCTCTCTGGGCAACCTGTTGCAGTGTTTCATCACCCTCATTGCAAAAGACTTCTTCCTTATATCTAGTCTGAATCTACCCTCTTTTAATTTATCCCTTGTCCACCTTTCTTATAAACCTCCTTTAAGAACTGAGAGACCACAATAAGGTCTCCCTGGAGCCATGGACAAGGAGCCCTGGAGCCTGAACAACCCCAGCTGTCTCAGCCTGTCCTCATTGGAGAGATACTCCAGCCCTTTGATCATCTCCGTGGCCCTCCTCTGGACTCACTCCAACAGATCTATATCCTTCCTGTGCTGGGGACCCCAGGCCTGGATGCAGTACTCCAGGTGGCATCTCACAAGAGGAGGATAAACGACCTGCTGGCCACCCTTCTTCTGATGCAGCCCAGGATACAGTTGGTACTCTGGGCTGTGAGCACGCATGGCCAGCTCATATCCACAAGGTACCTGTTCCAGGTCTTCCTCCAGTTCTTTCGTCTATGACATATGTGTACACATGCACGTATCTCTTCCTGAAGAAGCAATATGGAATAAGCAGGCTCATCTGAAGTGACAGTCAGGTGGACCATGCTGCTACTGTGAAAGAGGTTATAGTAAAGAGATGTGTCTCTAAGTTGGTGGTTTTCTTGCCTGCTTTCTGCCAAAGTCCCTCCACCCCTGAGGTTTCTTTGGTTCAGAAGTTGACATTAAAACTAATACATTGCATAAAATTTTTAAGAAATTTAAAATTTGCTTTGGGGAAAGACTTTTGTTTCCTCTTTTCTCCAAAGAAAGCAAAATCTGCATGAGACATCTGCTTTATCTGCACAATTAAAGGAATAGCATGTTCTGTTTTCCAATTACATAAGCAGGAAAATAATTTCCTTCAATAGCTTGCAGCTGATATGGAGAAAGAGGACAGAACATAATAAGGATAATACAAGATTTTGATTCTGTTCAATTTTTTTTGCATTACTTTTTTTGCCTTACCTCTTCTGAGTTAGCCTTGTGACCTTTCAGTTGTTTTCTGAAAAACTTCCCTAAGAAAAAGTTTTTTTGCTGGCCAGTTTGCTGATATTGTGTATTGCATTAGCTGAACCAAAGCCATCTTTCTCTTTGAGTTCTACTTTCCATTAAGTATAATTATTTAATCCTTTTCTAAGTACTATGTGTATTAAAAAGTGTATATATGTACATATAGGGCCATATGTGTATACAGCTTTTATAGGGCTGTATTTTTCATTTTTTCTCATTTTTAGTTTTTAAACTTTCTTTTGACAACAGTGCTATAAGAGGTGTGCTATTGTAGCATTAGGTTGTGATGGTTCATATCTGCTTACATAAGCACTCATCAGAATGATCTCATTAATTTCAGTAAAATGAGGAAATATTTCCTGAGATTCAGATTCCTAAATATTAATTTTCAAGACTTAAATATGAGCCCTCTATAGTGACATGTTTTTAATAGAAGAAATACAGAAGCAAGTGTGAAAAAATTTTCTGTGTCATGATTGGTGAGGTAGGTACCAGATTTGTGCTCATTGACCTTGTTGTTGTCTAGTGGCTTTCTTTAAACCCTCAGTAATGGCAGCAGAAGTTCAATTAACACATAGAACCAGGGTAGTGCGTAGGTCTAATTACTGCAGCAGTGTGCGTGTATGCAGTAATGGGCATTTTGTAGCTGAGAGCGTAACAGAGACATTAGGCATCAAAATTCAAAGGTCTCGAAACTAACGGGCTAGGAGCACCTTAGTTTTTAGCAACTGCTGTAGCCAGAAATCACAGTGAGGATCTTTTGATTGACTCTTTCCTCAGCCAATATTTTCCTGAAGAGGCAGAGGGCTTGGCTACCCACCCACCTCCTGCTCAGCAGCAGTGCCAGGGGCAGACAAACCCATCCTTCGGGGGAGGTGTTGGAGGGCAGTCCTGGCTCTGCTGCAGCTGTCTCTCCCAGCGGTGCAGTGCTGGTGTCTCTTTAGCTGGCTCTGCTGGGAGACCCTTCTCTTCTGTGTTGTAAAAGCAGCTCTGCTGAAAAAACAGTGAGGTCTCAGGTTGTGCTAATGTTTCCCTTATGATACCTGTAAAGAAACTGTAAAGGCAGTGTCTGTGCTGCCTTTCTCTGTCTTGAGTCCTGTGAAGCATTTTTCTTCTCTTGGAGGTGGCTGAGTCTTCTTTAACAAGGTGAAAGGGAATTGGCAAATATGGAGGATGTGTTCTCCCTTACTGCTGGCTTCAGCTCAGAAGACTAAGCTTCAGCTCAGCTTCAACTCAGAAAATCAAGCCCAGGCATATATTTTACAGTTCATAAGTAGTTGTAGAGGATGGAAGAAAATGTAGGCTAGTCATAAAAATAAAGGGCAGTGTTACAGCTTTTGCAGCCATGTAATCAAAAATATTCTTTCTCTCTTGCACTGAGCCACTTGTAGTATGTAATACACTGAACAGAGATTTTGTTTCCTTTTTCCCTCTCAGTTTCCAGCAAAGAAAACAAGTACTCTGCTTCAGCAAGTGATTCTACCCTTACTTGTGATACATATACAGGCTGTGTATGAGAATTATACCAATAATTACTGTTTAGAAGTGCTCTGCATGCAGATGCCACAATAAGGCATTGAGAATGTATCACATAGTTATGGGAAACACAATAGGAATCTTTCTGCGAGTGAAATAATGATATTTTAGCCACGTTGGAACCAAATAATCCAGCTAGCTCTAAGTCTTTATTCACGTGTAAAAAGATCATTTATGCATTGTAATGCATCCCTTGTTTGAATAATTGTGCTGGAATATTCTGTGAAAGTTTTTGAACAGCTCTGTAATAGCCATACTGTTGGATGACAGCAGTATCATTAGTAACTTGCAGAAGTATTTTTAACCATGTGCAAGTCATCCTTTATTGCATTGTAATTTATCACACAGTTTTCACCTATATATTTCAAGAGAAATTAGCTGTACTTGAAATGCTTCCCCTGCTCAATCAGCTCCATGCATAGGTTAGATGATCCTGCGTTGGCATGGGAAGGAAGTGACACTATGTGCTGTTTCGAGGCCCGCATCTGCAGGAGAGTGCCAGATGACAGGGTGGTTCAGAGGAGACCCACAACAGGGGGAAGATTGCTGTTCAGGGTCTGCTTATCCAGTGAGGCAGAGCGCTGGGTTAGGCAACCAGAGGCAAAGATCTCCTGTGCCCATTTGAAATACTTTTGATGAGGTCCTTTAGCAAAAGTTTTTAAAACCTTTAAGCATGAAAAGTAACTGAATAAAAGAGAGAACAAATATACTTCTCCTGGAAATTGATGAACATATCCTAAATACTTGTTCTGTCTTTATATGGTATCTTCAAGTATCTTTCTATAATGACCTATTATATGTCTGATCTGCTGTGGCTGTTTTTCTGTTCCTAAATAACCAAACAACATTGCTTCTAGTGCCTACACTAGCTCAAGTACCTTGAAACAGGAGCATCATCTAAATACCCCCCGGGAAAGTCTAAATGAGCTTGGCCTGTTTATTTAACAAACAAACAAACAAACAAATGAAACTATAGAATGCAGCGTAACTTCAGCATGTTAAAGGACTTCATTGTAGCGAAGAAGAGCATAATAATAGGTGTGCAGGGCATGTGCATATCCCCATCAGGCACACAAATATATAAAAGGGAGCATGATTAGCTGCTGGAGTAAATTTACCAGGAAAGAGATGAATTGTCAGTCCCTTGATGTTTACAGGTTGAGACTGAATGCCTTTCAAGATGCTATGCCTAAGACAGTCATAAATAATGCTTTAGTCTAATTTATGTTACCAGCTTAACATGAGTAAATAAGGTAAATGGGTGAAATAAACCTGTGACATTGAGAATAATCTGATTGTTCCTAAGACATTAAATATCTGGAAAAATGGAGTGATATCAAAGTCTCTGACTGAAACATTAACAAAATGAAGCAAGGGTTGCAAGTGCCATAAGCGCATTTTCAAATGGGCAGCAGAGTTTTTAGTACATACATGCAGAATAATTAATTTTCTCGCTTTTCATTTTGGCCAAGGTTTTGTGGAAAAGATATACTGCATTTATGAAAATAGTTTAGCTATCCCAAAATGAGCTACATGTATGTGCTATAGAATCTTTCACAGGTGTGTATGTATAGTATCCAAATGGCATCCATGACTTGAATTTGATTGCATTTATTGTGAGGCTCAACTTCTTGATGATTTTTTCACAAGAATTCAGATGTACAAAGATTTAAAAAATAGATTTGTAGGATATTCCTTAGTCAAAAAGGCTTAACATCTTTTGTTTAGAAAATCAACCCTCTTGTCCTTCTAGAAGCTAATAGAAAGTATTTTGAAATGATAATAGTATTCTAGGCAGAAATCCAGAGCATTATATTCGCTGCCTGAAAATATAATTTAGGACTTTTAATACATTCCATAATTAAAAATATTATGCATAGTAGTGATTTTTTTTTATTCATTTATTATCTGCACCATTGAACTAATCTGAAGAAAAGCAGCATTCTCAGGGGGCACAAGTGAAGAGGCTCCCTTTCTAGTTTTACAAACAAATACTTTGTTTTTCAGCAGAAGAGACAATTTTTTTTTTGTTTGAAAAATAAATTTTGCAACAACTTGCTACACAATTATTGTTAGACTTTAGCTGAGTAAAGGTCTGAAGGAACATTCAGGATTACTTTTGTGACCTTTATATCTTGTAATGTATAGGAAATACTTCATAAAGGTAAATAAATAGGAGATTGAGAAGCAAAATCTTGTATAAAATCTTACAATTTTTAACTGTGAAAGTAGAGCTAATTTTCAATCAATTGAAAAAAACTGGAAAGTATAAAACTGAAATTCAGAAGTGGTTGCTCTGTAGTTATTTTCTTGTTGCACCAACTCTACAAGTATAGACTTTTCACTCCTGTATTATAATTTTTTTTTTGTCTATGTCATGGCCAAGTGGACTCAAGATGCTACAGATTCAGGCTGCAGAGATTTGGCTGTGAAGCTCAGACTGTAGCAGTAGACTCAGGTGGGGTCTGCACTTCCCCAGTTCAGTCCCAAAGGCATAAATTGAAAGTCTTCTAAATGGCAGAATACACTGGTGAATGCTATATAGTATAGAATATATAGTGTATAAAATCCACTATATACTTTATAACAATTTGTTCTCTTCTTTTGTATTATATGCTTTGATGCAGGATGTTGGTTGGTTCTTTCCTTAAACATGTGTGCCTACAAATACTACTGCTTTTGCTCTTCTGAACATCCAGATGCTACCTGTATGTCAATAACAGTAAAGGGCAGAGGTTTATTTCTTCCAAATTTTATTAGACCTGCTTTACATTTTCCAGAAAAAAATAAGTCATTTAACTAGCTCATGCATTTTGAATTTTTGTGTCTTTTTCACTACACATCTTTTAACTAAATCTTCCCCACCTCTGCTCTCCAAAACCTTGAAATCAAGAAGTCAGAAATCTCTTTAT